AAATTGAGGGAGCCATTGAGGCCGAACCTCCTGTTGTTCCTCTTGTTCGACCTCCGCGCCGCCCTGCACCCGCACTGCCCCCACCTGACATCCCGCCAGGAAGTGACCCTTGGGACACCATCGACTGAGGGAACGAGCCGTCAACCCCGCGTCGCACCGTCTACGGGCCTGCCCCTGAGCCGCGCGAACCAAAATTCTTCCTGGGAACCATCCATGGAACCAATATTCCCCTCTCTGTTATCCTTGACAGGGAGTTTCTCGCGCTAATGTTGACAACGGCGAACGAAGAAGAAGCTGAAGAAGCAGCGGCGACACCTGCTCAAGCACCTGACGAGGATCCCGCAGAAGCACTCGCGCGCTACATGCGCACCTCCGGATTCCGCGCTGACGGTGAGATCTAGCACCAGCGCCTGGGTCACCCCTCGCGCGCAACTCTGAAGAACTGCATCGAGGCCGGCGTATTCGCGCCCGGCGCACTCCTGCGCCCTGACGGCACTGAAGTAAGAGGCGCGACACATCCGCGCAACTGCACCGTCTGCCCCGAAGCCGCGCTGAGCCACCAGCCGTTCCCCCTGCTAGAGCCCGGAACCAACCGCTACACCAAATTAGAGAAGGTGTACAGTGACTTCCTCAACGTGAGACACTGCGGCATTAACGACGAACTCTACACGCTCACCTTCGTCGACGCCGGAACGCGCCACGTATGGGTCGTAAACGTGGAAGCGCGCAGCAGAGCATACGAAGCATTCTGCCTGTGGCTGGCGCACGCGCAGCGGCAATCTGGGGAGAAGTTGAAGATCTGGCAGTCTGACGGCGCGGCGGAGTTCAGGAGCAAGGAGCTGCAGGATTACCTCGCGCAGAAGGGAATCGAGCACCACATCTCCCTCCCCTACGCGCAACAACAGCAGGGCGTAGCCGAGCGCACGAATCGCACTCTCATGACGAAGGTGCGAGCGCTGATGAAGCAGACGAAGCTCCAGCCGACCTACTGGACCTACGCAATGCACCACGCCGTGCGGGTACACAACCTGCTGTCAACCACCGCGATCACCGGCAACTCCTCACAGCATGTGAAGTGGACGGGGAGGAAGGGCGACACATCCATGCTCCGCGTGTGGGGGTGCATGGGGAATCCACCGACATCAACTATCGGAAAGTTTGCAAGCCGCGCGCGCTGGGGAATCCACCTCGGCATCAGCCACGAGCACAAGGCATGGCTCATTCTGGACCTCCTGAGCCATAAAATAAAGAACGCGCGCGACGTCATCTTCTACGAGCGGCTTTTCCTTCGGCAATTCCGCGAAGACGAGCAGGCGAACGCGAACCGTGTCTACGCCAACGACGGCCACAGCTACGCCTCACCTGAGGACGAAGCCGCAGCAGCAATTCTGGAGCAGGACCCCAGAGGCGAGTTCACGAGAGGCGATCGCAACGACGACGACGACGACGTTTCCCCTAGAGGAGGAGCAGGCGCAGCAAGCGGAAGCGGAAGCGGAAGCGGAGGCGGAAGCGGCGGAGGCGCAGCACCACCACCAGCACCACCCGAACCAGAAAGCGACGATGACGATGTGCAGGAAGTCATCCCGCAGCACCGCCACGACAGCACCATCTCTGGACTTCAACTTCTCGGGCTCCACACCGCCACCTCAACGGCGCCACGTGTCATCGAGCCGAAGAATCCTTGCCAAGCACTCACAGGACCACACTGCAAGGAATGGCGTGAGGCGATGGATGCGGAAATCAAGGCACTTGAGTCCCGCGATACCTGGGTGCTCGTCGATCGAGCGGCAATCAAGGGGAGAAGGATTCTCTCCGGGAAATGGGTCTTCCGTGCGAAAACCGCAGCTGACGGCACGATTGAGCGATTCAAGGCACGCTGGGTGGTGCGTGGCTACGATCAAAGGCATGGCATTGACTTCGACCAAACATTTGCACCGGTCAGCCGCCACACCTCCGACAGGATTCTCCTCGCCATCGCTGCAGCACGACACCTCCCGCTCCGACAAATCGACGTGAAGAACGCGTTCCTGTACGCGTTAGTAGATGGAACAATCTACGTGGAGCAGCCGCACACATACGGCGAAGGGGATTCGCGCGTCTGCCAGCTGAGAAAGTCCCTCTACGGGATCAAACAAGCGCCGAGACTCTGGCAGCAGTACCTGCACAACATACTGCTTGAAATTGGGTTCAATCAGTTGCCTCACGATCCTGGGATGTATCGCCACGATTTCCGCGGCGAATACATCCTACTCACGGTCTACGTCGAAGACCTCCTCTACACAGGGTCAAGCAGCGAGTTGCTTGAGCAATTCGAGAAAAACCTCGCAGGGCGCGTCGACATCACCTGCAATCATGACGTGAAGCAGTTTCTCGGGCTCAACATTACCTACTCGCCGGGAGCCATTCATCTTTCAACAGCCAAGTACGCAGAGGAGCTTAGCAAGTGCTTCAACATTGCGCCTACCACTCTCCACCCCTTACCGCACTCCAGGACCCAACCACAAGCCTAACAACAAAGCCCTGTCCCCTGCTGGGCTTCACACCTACCAGCAACAGTTGGGATGCCTGCTCTTTGCATCTGTTACCTGCAGGCCCGACCTCTCCTACATCGCGAGCCAGTTGGCTCAGTACTCTCGCAAACCAACGGCTGAGAATCTGCTAGATCTCCAGCGGGCACTTCAGTTCTTCATTTCCACGCCCAATGTTGGGCTTTGCTACTCCACCATCCCAACCTCATCCTTCAATCTCATCGGCTACGTGGACGCTGATCACGCTGCTGACCCCGACAATCGACGGTCCAGGACAGGCTTCCTTTTCCGCCTCGAGCCCATTGGCCCCATCTCCTGGAATTCACAGAAGCAAGAGCTGGTTGCCCTGTCATCAGCAGAGGCTGAATTCATCGCAGCAACAGCAGCCGTTCGCGAAGGCCTCTACCTTCAGGAGCTGCTGCAGGAGGCGAAAATTCCAGCCTCGGCGAACTTTCGCCTGCACTGCGACAATCAGAGCGCGATCAGGATCGCGAACAAGCCGGGATTCGTCAACCGCACCAAACACATCGCGCTGCGGTACTTCTTCGTCAAGGACGAAGTTGACAAGGGTAAGGTTGACCTAACCTACTGCCCTACGGGTGACATGGCAGTTGACTTCCTCACGAAGAAGCTGTCACGTCAGGGAATGTGACATGTGGGATGCGCATGGAAGAAAACATCAGCTCTTAACTGCTTCTTTTCAATGAAAACTTTTGAACTTAAGAATTGGGAAATTATACAGGATTTCCGATGCTCTTAGAAATCGCCTCATCTCGGGTAAAGAAGAACAAAAAAGAGATAAACGAAAAAAGACAAGGTAGGGAAGGGAGTGACTGACAGATGGTGCTGGAAACAAAACACATAGACACGAACGCCCGCATCGACTTACTTGCCTGAACGGATTTGAAGTCAGAGGGAAAGCCAAACACGAGCATGCGACGGAGAGTCTTCACACACAACAGCCACCGCTCACACAGCAGCATCAGCGCCCCTCCTGCTGCCCCTGCTGCTGCTGCTGCTGGGTCTGACCCTCCAGCCTCAAGGGCGGTTAGGCCCTGCAGCAGTGACCCTGTGTCTCGAACCCAGTGTGCCCAGGTGGGCTCAAACAGCTGGCTGGTCACCTGAGAAAAGGACAAAAAATTGTGAGGGAGGGGAGAGGCGGGAAAAATATGAAAAAAAAAAAGTGATCCTCGGTATTTTCTATCCTTGGTGTTACATCTTCTCAACTTCAACGGAGAACTGTAGTGTGTTTCGATGCTAGCTCTTCCCTGAGCGAACGTGCGCTGATCTACACTCACGCGCTTAGTTGAAAGTTTATTAAGCACGTGGTTATGTAGCTTGGCTCTTACCTGAGAAAAGGTGCGGTGGTCCACCCTCAGGTGCTTAGTTGAGAGTTCCTTAAGCACGAGATAGGCACGTTGGGTGAGCAGAGGGTCCTGAGTCTGTAGCTTCTGCAGGAGTCGTTTTTGCTCATTCCTAACTGCAAGCACCTAGTAAGTACCTAAACAGCCTGGCTCTTACCTAAGCAAAATTACATTGATGCTAGATTTTACCTGAGAAAACGTGCGTTGGTCTACACTCAGGCGCTTAGTTGAGAGTTCCTTAAGCACGTGATTGAGAACCAGATAGGCGCGCTGTGTGAGCAGAGGGTCCTGACTCTGAAGCTTCTGCAGGAGCGTGGGGAATAGCTCGGACCTGGCCTTGCATGCAGCATGACATGATGTGGCACCAAATGGCATAATATGGCATTGCATGGCATCATATGGAATCACATATGACATGACATCACATCATATGACATCACACCGCATCATATGGAATCACATGGCATCGAATGGCACCGTGTGGGATCATATGGCATCAAATGGCATCGTGTGGGATCATATGGCATCACATGGCATCAAATGGCATCGTGTGGGATCATATGGCATCACATGGCATCAAATGGCATCGTGTGGGATCATATGGCATCACATGGCATCAAATGGCATCGTGTGGGATCATATGGCATCACATGGCATCAAATGGCATCGTGTGGGATCATATGGCATCACATGGCATCAAATGGCATCGTGTGGGATCATATGGCATCACATGGCATCAAATGGCATCGTGTGGAATCATATGGCATCACATGGCATCAAGTGGCATCGTGTGGGATCATATGGCATCACATAGCACGGCCGTGGGTGTGAACGCATGGAATCGGTGAATCAAGAAATGACAAACATGATTGAGAGATTTCAATGACAAATTGCGATGGAACAGTGCATTACATTGCCATGCAATGTAATGGTGAGTGGGGCATGGGCGTGTATGTATGCCAGCCAATCCAACATATATACACGCCCATGCCCCACTCACCATTCATGCCCATCCCTCACAACTCACGCCCATGGTGTACACAGCATAGCCCCAAGGCTGATTGCAATGGAGTAGTCCATTATAGTACCACTCACGCCCGTCCCTCACTCACCATTCCCTGGGGAAGTCAATGCGGCCGATCTTAGCGATCAGCACGGCCAGCTGGCTGTTCCCATGAGCTATGAGACCTCATACATCATACATGGGACAAACCCCATCTCCAACCAATCAGGCCCATTTCCCTACCACCCATTGCCGCCCATGCCCCACTCACCATTCCCTGGGGTAGTCGATGCGGGCGATCTTGGCAATCAGCACGGCCAGCTGCACGGCCACCTGGCTGTTCTCATCTGCTACTAACTCCAGCAACCGAGCTCTCAGCACCGGCTTCTCCTCGTCCGATATGCCCCTGGATGAGGCGAGGGAGGGGGAGTGAGGGAGTGTGAGAGAGGAAGTCCACTTGACTTGACTGCTCTCCGCACCAGCTTCTCCTCGTCTGATATGCCCCTGTGCGGGTGCGGGAGCGTGTGAGGGAGGGCGTGAGAAAGGAAGGCCAGGGATGCCGGATGTGGAGTACGGCTATACAACAATCTCGAAGCCTGTTTGCAAGCGCGGCACCAACTTCTCATCCGATAAGCCTCATGCCGGCCGGGGAGATAACGGCCATGAGACTCGCTACATCTCTCTTCTTGCTCGCCAGTAACTGATCCTGACATGTCATGCTTGTTTTTTAAGCAGACTGCTGCTAGCCAAGCATTCGCTCCTGATTCTGTGGTTCATCATGCACTGACTCGTTCAGCATGCAGTGAGCGAGTCAGTGTATACGTGAGTGCAGATACTGTGAGTCAACCTATGCGTGCGTGTGACTCACTGTGTCTCTCGTCTCGCCCGCCAGTATCTGTTGATGCTATTCTTGAAATAGATCGCTGCCAGCCACCTGGCTCCGCCCTTCTGATCCAGCTCCTTGCGCGATATGATCTCCTGCCGGCATACAGGGAGAGGCGGAGGGGAAAAGAGGGGTTCAGTGAAGGTCCAATGAACTGTCTCATGAATTCAACCACTTGGTTCCGCCCTCCAGATCCAGCTCCTTGCGCGCTATGATCTCAAGCCCGAGCATCAGACAGTGGCGGAGATGGAATATGCACGCATGACAAGAATGCTCTCATCTCAGAATAACGCTTGAAGCTCTCATAATAACGCTTCAGGTTCTCAAGAAAACGCTTCAGGCTCTCATGAAAACGCTTCAAGTTCTCACGAAAACGCTTCAAGCTCCCATGATAACGCTTCAAGCTCCCATGATAACGCTTCAAGCTCTCACAATAATATCAAGGCTAAGAAGTCAAAAGAGAGGGGACCTCCATCTGCCATACCAGGAGACATGAGCAGAAACCCACGCGGGTCTCATACGCGTTAAGAGCCTGCTCCGCCTCTTTCCTTGTAGCCTCGTTAAGAGCTGCTTCTAACAGGTTGTAGATGGGCCCAGCATCTGCTGCGGTCAGCGCCATATCCGCAGCTCCAGCTAGCGATTAAAGAGGTAATGTGAAGAGCCTTGAGCTGCTGAGCTGCAGCGTCCGCCGAACGATCGGACACTACAGCGGGAAACGAAAACGGCAATGGCCCGGATGAGCACTCAGGAAATGCCTGCAGATGGTTGGAGTCGGTTCAGTGTGTGACTGAAACGAGTGCTCGTTAGGCACCCTCGGGGCTATGCTGGGTACACCATGGATTTCGGCGCAATGAACCGAAATTCGACCAGATTACAATGTGAAGGCGATCTAGGAATCCCAGGCAAATCCGATCAGGATGCGTGGTGGTACCAATTCCGACTAATGACAGACCATGACACGCTGAATGGACAACACGTCAAGGCTTAAATTGCCATCACGCGCAAACTACAAGCGCCGTATCGGTAGGAGAATGAGAGGAGAAAGTGAAGGAAATGAGATAAGAGGGGCCAAGGGTGAGAATTGGGATGGTGCGAGCTTCTAGAAATGAAGGCTGTGAGAAAGTGGTGGGAACACCAAGCATGGCTGATGAGATGGGTATAGTGATACTCCGAATTTCCAAGGGGTAATATGCTCCACAATCTTTTACGCTTGATTGTTGGTGGATTTTTACTGTAACGACGCTCGCATTTCATTTCTAGGCACTCTATATGGAGGACACAAACCTTTGTGGGCTTCCTGGCTCGGGTACGAAGCTAGCGCGAGCTGCTGACAAAAAATGGAAGATTCGAAAGGGTATTTCGGGTGTTTCGGACTCAACAAAACTGGAGAATTGATAACAAACGCTTGAACGGACTTAGCCAAATATGTTGCTGGATTTTGGGATCTTCATAATACTTCTCAAATCAGCTCTGAACTCCATACACCACAAAATCTCTGGGAAACCCAGAACGAAGGGAAGAAAAAGACACTGTTTTTACCAAACCTAATGGCACACCTCCAACTGGCTCGGTAAAGGCTTGTGGCGGCCTCAGGGGCGGCTTGGTTTGGATGGACTGGATGAGGAAACTTTGCCGAGTCGTACACCGTATGCCCACTGCAGTCTCGTCCCTCCTTCCCCCCACATAACCTTTTCGGTCCGGAGAGCTACGTGCCCATGAACAGTACGTCCGAGCCTGGCCTGACCCTTGCTTGGTCCGAGCCACACCCCAAATTACACAACCAAGTCAACGAAAAAAAAGTAGGTTCGGGAAACCCCAGGGTTAGGTTCGGTGGGAAAATCCTGAACCAATCGCGTCAAAAACCCACTCAAAACTTTCGACCAATCACATGAAAGTGATGACAGTTTTGAGGCCGACACGGTAATTCTGGATGTGTCCTTTTAGGCGCGGTTGTCAACCGAACCCGAAAGTATGTCCGAAATGCGGCTCAATGAGTTCTGATACGATCTAGAGAGTTTTACAAGGTTGTAGAATGGTTGAATAGGGTATTCTGCAAAAACGTACTTTCGGGACCTGCCTACTAAAGTGATTAGTGCACCTACTTTAGACTGCAGCTATGCGGAATAGCCGCTGCTTACCGCGTCCATACCGTAGCAGGTTCACAGATGAGGCCGTCCGTTGATTCGACTGTTGCGAGTCTCGGATAGTTGGCAAGGCGCGTTCTCGGTCGGGGGATATGGAAGCACAGGTAAGTGAAAGCATGCCTGAGAACATAGTGCTTTTTATGCGGGAAACTCCTACACTATACTCAGAGAGCTGATTAATCTGAGGGAGAATGCTAGAGCCTGAGGTACACTGAGCCATTGCCGGGAACACTGAGACCTGGAGAAGTCTTCTCAGGTCGAAATGCGGTGAGCGAGGAGTCTAAAAAATGCGCACGTCTCAAGTTCCTGGCAATGGCTCAGTAGGTACTCTTCCTTTCCGGGGGTCCCGCTCTGGCTCCCATGCGCGTACCTTTTAGCTCATTTCTTCTTGCGCCAGCTTTCTGCGGCGTTCTGAGACGTCTCAAAAGAGTTTTGAGATGTCTCAACATTTCAGACGTCTCAAAACTCTTTTTAGCTCCGCCACTACTCCTGTCTTCTCGCGCCAGCTTTCTGCGGCGTTCCGCTTGAGGCGCTTTCCGCTCTCCCTTTGTTGAGCTCGCGCCACTTTTGATCCTTTGTGAGCAGGACGGGCAGGAGGAAGGCAAATCGACGGGCAAGAAGCACAAAGATGGGAAGAAAAGCCATCGGGTCCGTCCACGTGGCCTCTCGCATTCTCATTCCGCATTCGTTTTGCGCCCCAGCTTCATCTCCAATCCCTCGCACCTTCGTTCACGACCCCCTTTCCTCGCACCAGTTACAACCATCTCTCCATCCACTCGCGTCGCATTGTCTAGTAGGCTATTGGGGCATCATACGTTTGTTAAAATGCATGGCATTCCTGGCTCGTTTTTCTAGTATTCCTCACCGCTTCTCCTTCCTTCCGCCCTCCACCCATCCCCCCCACTCCCCATCCCACTCCTCCCTTTTTCCACCCCCTCTCCATCCCCCTATTTCCCTCGCTCCCGCTTATCCCACCCATATCAACCCACCTCACCTACCCCGCTCACTCCATCCGCCTACTACCTTTTACAGAAGGAGGCATTGGAGGAAATGCGGGGGGATGTAGAGCGGTTGAAAGGCGAACTACAACAAGCAGCGGAGCAGTTCGCAGTGGCAGAGAAGGCCAGAGCCGATTTGTTGGTTAAGTATGAAATCCTGGAAAGGGAAAAGGCTGCTTTGGAGGGGCAATTTGAGGAGAAGGAGAAGGAAAGGGAGAAGGAGAGAGCGGATTTGGTTGGGAGGTTGGAGGAGTGTGAGAGGAGGTTGAAGGAGGAAGAGGAGGGGAGGAGGGAAGAAAAGCAGAAACGGAAAGAGGAGAAGGAGAAGCGGAAGGAGGAGGAGGGGAAGAGGAAGGAGGAGAAGAAGAGGAGGAAAGAGGCGGAGGAGGAATTGACACATGTCCAGCAGCGATTGGAGGAAGCGGAGGCCAAGTGTGAGAGGATCGAGAGGGGGAGTGCTGGTGCAGCTGCAGCAGAGGAAGGGGGCGGGTCATTGGATGGAAGACAAAGTGAAGGGGGGGACGGAATCAGTGTAGCAAATGAGAGGAACAATGAGGCTAGTGGAAAGGTAAACCCTGGCATTGGCAGTGTACATGGGCTTGAAAACGAGGAGAAAGAGTCAAGTGCACGCTTGGCAAGCCTTGAACTGCGCGCCGTGAGAGCAGAGGGAGAGGCGGAGGGTTTGAGGCGTGAGCTGGAATCTGTGAATGCCACGCTTGCAGGTACGAGTGCCAGGCTGGCGGATACGAGTGCCAGGCTGGCGGATACGAGTGCTGAGCTGGCAGACATGAATGGACGGTGGGCAGAAGCGCAAGCACACGTGGATGAGTTTGGAGAAAGGGGAGTGAGGGAGAAGGGAAACGGGGAGGTGGGTAGGAGAGAGGAGGTGGAGCAGAGGTTGAAAGAGGCGGAAGCACAGAGGGATGTGGCTGATACGCAGAGGGAGGAGGCGGAAAGGCTACGGGACGAGGCAGAGAGGCGAAGGGAGGAGGCAGAGAGGCAATGGAGGGAGGCGGAGAAGGGACGAGAGGAGGCAGAGGAGAGGGCGAAGGGGCTTGTGAGTCGCCTGAAAGCTGCAGAGGCGGCAGCAGCAGGAGACACTATGGGTTTGAATGATGGAGATGCGCGAGTCGCTTCGGGTGAGAAAGATGACGTAGGAGGAGGGAGCGAAGAAAGGAGGAAGGGGCATGAGGAGAGGTGGAAGGGGAATGGCGGGGAGGGTGGGGGGGAGAACATGGAAGCAGAGGTGGAACAAACACCTCTCTGTCTTGAGGAGTGTCTCAAAGAGCCCCAGAAGGTGGAAGTGTTGCTTCCCAAGACGGAATTGTCACCTGGAAAGATGGACGTGGAAGCAGAGCTTCAGTTTCTGCGCAACCTGAGGGAAGATCTGGAGAGGGAGTTGGACTCTCTTCGCATTCTTCAGCTCGATTGCAAGCCACAGGCCGAGCCCCCTGTTGCTGATTTGGATAAGGCTTGTCTCGAATCTGAGGAAAACCAGAGTACGAGCCAGCATAGCAACAGCACCTGTGGCTGTACTTGTTGCAGCAGCTGTAGCTGCGGCTGTAGCACCAATACCAGTACCAGCACCACCACCACTGCCGCCATTATCACCACCAGGAGCATCGCAGAGGCTGAAGCAGAGATAGAGCGACTGCAGGCCGTGAGAGGAGACCTAGAGAGGGAATTAGAGGACTTGTATTTGGAGTTGCAACGAGAGCAGGAGCTTTCAGCTGAAGCAAGCCTTCTGGCTGAGAAGGAGTGGGAGCGGCGGCAGGAGGCAGTGAAAATGCTGTCTCAGCTGGAGAGACAGCTAGGGGAGGCGTTTGGGGGTGCGGTGACTGTGGCTGAAGGGGTGTTGGTGGTTGATGCGAATGGTAGGCCTATGTCGCCGCTAGTGGGGAGTTTGAGTGGGTCGGGAGCGGTGGGGAGGAATGGCAGGGGTGGGGGTGTGGGAGGGGTGTTTGTGTCACCGCTTGGCGGGCCGCAATTGGAGGGTTCTGGTGGGGAGGATAGGGAAAGCTGGCCGTATTTATGTGGTGGTGGGGAGGAGGGAGCGGATGGGGGAGTTGAGGGGGAGATGGGAGGAATGAGAAGAGTGCTGTTTGGAATAGAGGAGCATGGGGAGGAGGAGGGTGCAGCAGCAGGAGAAGAAGAACTGGCTTCTTCGCTTGCCGTAGCAGCCACAGGCACAGCAGCAAGTGTGGTTGAGCGGTTGAGCATAGAGAAGAAAGAGATTTACAAAAGGGCAGGGGAGGGAGATGACGGGAAGAATGGGGATGGGGATGGGGATGGGGATTGGGATGAGATTTGGAGTGAGGACGATGACGAAGAGCTTGAGGTGAGGCATGGGGAAGGTCAGAGGCAGGAAAAGGAAACGGAGGGGGTAGAGAAGAGGGAGGAAAGGAGGATGGAGCAGTCTTGGCGGATGGATTGGCGACGGTCACTCACGGATGGTAAACTGTCTAGTGAGGAGGATCAGCGTGAGGATCAGTCTCACAACTCTGACCCAAATCACGGTCCCAACTCTAACAGTGAGGAGAATATCATCCGCAGTGGCGCCCCCAGCACCAGCACCAGGCCACTGCTGCACATCCGCCCTCCCCCTCGCACGCTCCCTAGAGCCACATCCGATTTAGTCACCTACGTGCGGGATGCAAAGACGGCCCTGCGCCTGCCCTCTTCCCCAGGAGAAGACGAGTTTTTCAGCACTAAGCTTCCAGAATTGAGGAGGAGAATGACGGGTGAGGGGCCGCAAAACTCACCTCATAGGTCCTCCTCTCCTGGGGAAGACGAGTTTTGTAGCGCTAAGCTGCCGGAATTAAGGAGGAGAATGACTGGTGAGGGGCCTCGTAAATCGTCTTCTCCTCGTGAAGACGAGTTTTTCAGTGTTAAGTTGCCTGAGTTGAGAAGGAGAATGAGTAACTTTTCGCCCCTGCACTCACCCCTGGCCCACTTGAGAGGGATGCACCTGGATGGGGAAGGGGGGGCTGAGGTGGCAGCATCGTTTTCGAGGGGGATACCTGGTGGTGCCGCTTCTGGTGGGGGTGGGAGTGGTGGAGCTGGAGATGGTTCAGGTGGTTCTATTGTTTCAGGTGCTTCGTCAGGTGAAAACGGCACTCCTGGCTGTCGCATAAAGTCTCGTTTGGCTAGCGTGGCTGAATGCAGTGGTGATGATAAGCATGAGGAGGGGGAGGCGGAGGGGGGGGCGGAAGGGAAGACGGAAGGGGAGGCGGAGAGGAACAGTAAGGAATTCGCCCATTGGGACGGGCAGGAGGAAGGGGATGGAGGTGGAGGAGGGGGGAGCTTTGCAGGAGCAGCAGGGGAAGCAGGAGCTATGGAGAATGGTTGGGTTGAAGCTGATGGAAAAGGCAGGGAGAAAAGGAAAGAGGATGTGAGAGAAGGGGGAGAAGTTGTAGCAACAGCAGGAGCAGCAGTAGTAGCAACAGCAGCAGGAGGAGCAGCAGCCTCACCGGGTGCACCTGTTGATGTGCCTCGAAGCACCCCAGACATTGAACACAGCAGCCTAGAGACGACTCAAATCAGCCGAAACACGGGTCACAGCATCCCAGACGCAGCCCCAGACATCACCCATAACGCATTCTCATTCACAGCCCCTGCAAGCCCCCATCCCGGCAGTATAGGCTCCTCTCTGAACAAGGCCTTCCGCCGAGCCTCCACGTACTCTGGCCGAGCCTATCCCGATCCAAACCAGCCCTCTTACTCCTCTACCACCACCCTCCTTTCCTCCCACTCTGCTCGTGATCTTTCCAATTCTCAAGATCCCTCCTCTCCCACTCGCACCACCAAAGAACCCTCCTCTCCTCTCACCACCTCGTTTTCGGCGCTTGATGAGGCTTCTTCTCCCAACGCAGCCCGAGCAGTGGCCTATTCAGGGCAGCCCTTTTCCTACGCCAGTCAGATGGTCGTTGCTCCTAGGGAGGTGCAGGATGACTCTTCAGGGAACTTCAACAGAGCGGTTTCCTACACAGGGGGTTTCAACAGAGCGGATTCGCACTCAGGTGCTTTCAACAGAGCGGGCTCGCACTCAGGTGCTTTCAACAGAGAGGGCTCGCACTCAGGTGCTTTCAACAGAGCGGGCTCGCACTCAGGTGCTTTCAACAGAGCAAGCTCTTACACAGGTGGTTTCAACAGAACTGGTCCAGATGCGGGACTGCTGCTGACCTTCGGGGGACTATTAGGAGGAGATTTTTCAGCAACAGAGACAACAACAGGTGGAGCAGATGAGGGAGAAGACTTGGAAGAATTTGGGAAAGGAGAGGAGGAGTTGGTACACGTTGGATTGGCTGATGATGAAGTCCAAAGATGGGATGACTCTCTTTACAATATGCAGGAACTTTTAGCTAAGCACCAGACTGATTTTCTCCATGTATTACTGCAGATGCTACAGCTGGCAGTGGCGAAGCGGGAAAGCGAGTCAGCATCAGCCTCTGCCGCCGCTACAGCTGCCGCTACAGCCGTTTCGGCTGCTGAGAGGGAGAAAGCGGAGTGGGAGGTGGAGCAGGTAGTATCTGCAGTCTTCAAGGAGGTGCATAATGTGTTGCATGTGAATGGGGTTGGCAGGGTGAGAAGGAAGTTTAGAGGTGTGGCTAAGGAAGGGAACGCAGCAGCAACGGCTGCTGCTGCAGTTAGGGAAGATTTGGAGCTGCTAGTCCGGGCAGTTGAAGCAAAAGCTCGGGCAGCCATGCGAAGGAATGCAGCTGGCCTGGTCCCTCCTGCTCCCAGACGGCTTGTGAGGGATGGGAGTGGGAGTGGGGGGGGGAGAGGAGGAGAAAAGGGCGGAGGGGGAGGGTGGGGGATGGGCACCGGCAACGGCATGTGGAGCATCGGCCAGAGTATTCAGTCGGCTGCTTTGGCTATCGCTCGCTCTCCCTCTGTTGCTGGTCCCTCTGTGGTCAGTACACCTACCATGAGCACACCTGTTATGAGTAGATCAATGTCAGCTGCTGAAGCTCCTTCTGTTGTCAACTCAGCCGGGCCCGGGACTCACAACGCCTCACTGAGTATCTACAGGACAGCTTCAGTGGCAACCACTGAGGCGTCCACTGCTGGTAACACGCCTGTTGCGCATGCGGTTACCATCGCCCGAACCTCGTCCGCAGCCTCGGGAATGTCTACTGATGGTAACACGCCTGTGGCTCGGGCTGTGGGGGATATGGCAGGAGGAATGCCGATGTCCCATGGGGGAGCGGTTCAGATGGGTGGCATGTCAGGGGGAATGGGTGGGGAGCGGTCAAGCGCTCTGACAATTTACCGAACGCCATCTATGGCTGAGATGTCGACTACTGGTAACACTCCGGTCGCGCATGCGGTTACCACAGCATTTGTCGGCGGGTTCAATGTATCGGGTCTCCTCGGGTTGGCTTCGGCAAGGCTAGCTGCGGCCACCTCTGCTGCTGCTACTCCTGCTGCTGCTACTACTCCTGGTGCTGCTGCTTTTTCTACAACTGGTAACACCCCTGCTGCCTCAACTGCTGGTAACACACCCATCGCCCAAGCCTTGGGCAGTCCGAACCAGTTTGCGAATAGTCATCAAGTGTCGCCGGTAACCACCCCTGTAACCGTGGATGCGTCGACTGGCGGTAACACTCCTGTCTCACAGGCAGTCACTGCAAGAAGCAGTGGTGGTAACACACCTGTTGCACGTGCGGTTACCACAAGCAGCGGTGGTAACACTCCCGTTGCACGGCCGCTGACGCTGAGGGGAGGGGAGAAGGCGGAGCAGGAAAGGAGCGCAGAGGAGGAGAGGGAGGAGGGAGATAGAGGGGAGAAGTGCGGGGAAGAGAGAGGGGGAGAAGGGGAGATGGAGGAGGTTTTATTTGTGCGGGAGGTGGTAGCAGGGGATTTGGTGGTACACCACCATGTGGACTCTCTCACGCGCTCCCTCACAACTGCTTCCCCTAAACCCAAACCCTCCGAGCTGGCTTTTGAGGCGCCTCAAAGAGCGGGGGATGTGGTGGTACACCACCATGTGGACTCGCTCACGCGCTCCTTCACCCCTGCTGCTACCTTCAATGACACGTATGGGAACTCTCAACAGAAACCCAACGCCTTTGACCTGACGGAAGAATCGCCTAGCGTGCTGGCACCTGGAATCAGGCAAGGAGGAGGGGAGCAGCGCTTTTCTCGTCCTATGACCAGGCAGGAAGAGAGGGAGCGGAGCAGGATACAAGACGATGATTCGTTGCGCATTTTGAGACAGGATGCGTGGGGGAGGCGAGAGGCAGCTACCAGGCTGTATAGAGAAACCCCTGCTACAAGGCTGGATAGAGGGAGAAACCAAAGCTCGGAGGAGGAATATTCCCAGCCAGCTTCAAGGCTGGAAGCCCACCCGTTGCCTGCCCGCCCCGTGACCGCTGTGCCTAGAGATAGGTCCCACTACACAGCAGCAAGGGATGGGAGTGGCAGGCCGGATTTTGAGCCGGCTAGAAGAGCGATTGGGGGCGGGGCTAGCAGTGGGATCGGGAGTCGCCACCAGCCAGGTACCAGGCTGGATTCTCATCATCCCTGGGGGAGCCCTGAGCCTGCTGCGAGGCTGGATACAGGGAGGAGTCAAAGCACGGACGAGTACCACCAGCCAGCAGCTACCAGGCTAGATGCTCAAGCTCACCCCTGGGGGAGTCACCATGATCCAGCAGCTGCGAGGCTGGATACTGGGAGGAAGCAAAGCCCTGACGACTACCACCAGCCAGAAACTACCAGGCTGGCGATTGGGGGCGGGGCTAGCAGTGGGATCGGGAGTCGCCACCAGCCAGGTACCAGGCTGGATTCTCATCATCCCTGGGGGAGCCATGAGCCTGCTGCCAGGCTGGATACAGGGAGGAGTCAAAGCACGGACGAATACCACCAGCCACGGCCGCTTGCGTGGGGGAGTCGTGAGGGAGATGGAGCTACCAGGCTGGATAGGGATATCCCTGCCCGGCTGGATAGAGGGAGGAATCAAAGTTTGGAGGAGGAATATTCCCAGCCGGCTTCAAGGCTGGACGCCCACCCGTTGCCTTCTCGCCCCATGACCGCTCTGCCTAAATCCAGGTCAACGTTTGAGCCGGCTAGAAGAGCAGACGCGTCTGAGGCGGTTCTTGAGACGCCTCAGGAGCCGACTCGAAGAGCGATTGCTTTTGAGTCGCCCCAAGAGCTGTCTAGAAGAGCGATTGCTTATGACGCGCCTCAAAGGGTAGATGCTGCTGCCCACCCCTTGCCTGCTCGCCCCATGACCGCCCTGCCTAAATCCAGGTCAACTTTTGAGCCGCCTCGAAGAGCGATTGGGGGCGGGGCTGGTAGTGGGGTTGGGAGGGCGAGTGCGCTGCTGTACAGACCTGGAGGTCAAAGGGGAGGAGTGGGGGGACGGGGAGGAGGGAGTGGAGGGAGGGGTGGTAGGCAAGAGGAGCAAAGCACAGGCATGGGTAGTGAGAGAATACAAGGAAGGGGTGATTCAGCTGTTTTACCTCTGGACTCTGCTGTACCAGACCGAACCGCTTGGGGTGGGACTGAGACGAGTGGTTCGGCAAGTAACCGGCAGGTTCGGCAAGGGAGTGTTGGGGACGGTGCGTCTAGTTCTCAGGAGCCGCAAAAGGGGAGTGCTAGAGACGGTGTGATGGAGAGTTTGATTTCCGAAGCTACTGCAGCAGCCCAGGGCACTGTTAGAGACATTGTCTCTTTCTGGGCGGCAGGTCCTGCAGCTGGGGCTGTAGCAGGGGCAACAGGTGCGGTGGCAGGTCGTGAGTCTGTAGCAGCAGGAGCGGGTACTGTAGCACTGCCACGGAGGCCTGCTACAGCCGCCGCAGGGGGCGGCAGGGTTCGTCCTGCAGGGGGCTGGCAGGGCTGGGGGATGGGAGGGAGAGGAGAGGGGTTGGGTGGAGTGGGGATGGGTGATAGTGAGGAAAGCATAGAGCAACCGTGGGGCAGCAGGGCACAGGTTCAAGAGGCAGGAGGGCAGATGGGAAGGGAGCATCCGTGGGGGGGTTCGTATCAAGATAGACGAGGTTTGGGTGATAAAGGCGGAGTGGAGGAGAAGAAAGGTGGAGCAGATGTTTGGACTCTTGAGGAAGAGGAGGGGGGCAGGGAGGAGGAGGGTAAGGAGGAAATTGGGGAAAGTGGTGAAGGGAATGTGCGTGCGAAGCATGAGAGGAAACTGCAGCCGCAGCAGCAGCAGCAGCAGCAGCAGCAGCAGGAAAACCCTTCCTCCTCTGCCTCCCCCCCTGCCGCACCGGGTCTTTTTGCAAGTTTCCTGCCCAAGTCAGCATCCGTCAGTCACGTTCGACGGGCCAGCATTCAGATCTTTGATTCCCTCACGCACCTCACCTTTGGCTCTTCTTCTGCTGCTACACCTGCTGCTACAACCGCTGCTAGAACCACTGCCAGCCCTGCTACAACCGCTGCTACACCTTCTGTTTTAACTGCGGTTGCAGAAGCAACCACGACAGGTGCTGCTGACTCTGCTGCTGCTGCTGCTGCAAGTACTCAAGTCACAGCAGGTGACATAGCAGGACCTTCACACTCCCCGTTGCTAGAGCCGTCCAAGGTTGTAGCAGCTGTGGCAAGGGTCGCTGCTACAACCCTTGCAGCTGCTACAGGCGTTGGCGCTGGGACTCATGCTGGTCCAGGTGCTTTTTCAGGTGCTTTTCCTGGTAAATCTGGACCGTTGGTTTCCTCACCGGTCAAACCTCATCGCGGGATCGTGACTGTGGGAAGTTTTGTTGAGACGGAAACAGGGGTTTCAGAATGGTTGACTGGAAAGGTGGAGAAATTGACAGGGGCGGGGCAGAGGAGAGGAGAGGAAGAGAGGAGGGTGGTTATGGAATGGACTCAGGAGTTGGAAGAGGAAGGGGAAGAGGAGGAGAGAGCGTTGAGAGAGAGAAATAGGGAGAGGAGGGAGAGGGAGGCGAAGGAGAGGGAGAGAGAGGAGGAGAGGAGGAGGAGGGTGGAGGAAGTGAGGAGGAAGATGGAGGCAGCTAGTGAGGAGAGGAGGAGGAGGGAGGAGCGGGAGAGAAGAGAGGTTGCTGTAGGGGAGGAGGGGATTGAGGAGCAAGGAGGGAGAAGCCATCTGGATGCCACGTCAGGAGAGAAAAAGAAATTGTTCAAGGGAGGAATGGATAATAAGGAGAGGCTTTCAGGGGGTGTGGTGAAGGAAGAGAGTGACTCAGGTTTAGGGGGACGAGGTGTGCAAAGGGTGGTGGTGAAGCGAGGTTCGATGAAAGGGGAAGCGAGGGAAAGTGAGAGCTCGAGTGAGGGAGAGGAAGGGTGGAGTGACATGGAGGAGGAGGAAGAGGAAGAGGAGGAGGAAGAGGAAGAGAAGGAGGAGGAGGGAGAGGAAGAGGAGGAGGATGGCGAAGCATCATGGAGTGCTGATGACGATAGTGGTGATGTTGATGCTGGGGGTGATAAGGAGGAGGCAGGGAGGAAGGAGAATGAGGAGGAATTGAGGAATGAGGAGAAAGTTGAGCTTGTAGTGATGGAAGTAGAGGGTCAGGCAGAAGAGATGAATAAGGTGGAGGCGGAGAGTGGGGTGAAGAGGGAGGCTAGGTATGGGGATGGTGATAGTGGTAGTGATGGTGATGGTGATGATGGTGGTGATGGTGGTGGTGATGGTGGCAATGCCAATGGTGGTGATGGTGGCAATGCCGATGGTGATGATGATGCTGAGGATTTGTGGAGTGATGTTGATGTTGATAGTGGTGATGATGACGATGAGGGCGGAGTCAACGCATGCAATAAGGGGGAGGGGGAGGAGGAGGAGGAGGGAGAGGGGTGGAACGCGAATAGGGATGGGGTGGAACAGCAGAAAGAAGAGTCTGTTTCTAAGGTGCCTCAAGGAAACGAGGAGTGGGGTGAGCAGGAGGATGGGGCAGAAGAACAAAAGGAAGAGGTGAAGGTAGAGAGTGGAGGAGAGAACAAAGTGGAGGGAGGGGTAAGGAGAGGAGCAGAGGATGGCGAGGGGGGAGAGGAGGGAGGAGAGAAGAGAGTAGAGGGAGGGGCAGGGAGAGGAGCGGAAGCAGTGGAGGGAGAAGAGGAGAGAGGAGGGAAGAACGAAGAGGGAGAGGAAGGCAGGGGAGTGGAGGAAGCAGGGGTGGAAGGAAAACGGATGGGAAGTGCATCTGAGGTTCTGGAGGGTACAGCCGGGGAAGAATTCTTTGAGGCGCCTCAAAAGGAAGCAGGGGAGGAAGGAAAACGGATTAGAAGTGAGCTGACTTTTGAGTCGACTCAAAAGTCCGGGGAAGAATTCTTTGATGCGCCTCAAAAGGAAGCAGGGGAGGAAGGAAAACAGATCACAAGTGCATCTGAGGTTCTGGCGGGTAGAGCTTGGCAAGAAAGGGGGGTAGTGGAGGTCACTGAAATTTCAACACCCGTGATTCTCCTTACACCTGGCAGCTTGATAGGTTCGCCTTCCGTGGCAGAGGCATTGGGTGAGGCGCCTCAGAAACCTGACGGATTGACAGGTCTCCCTTCCTTGGCAGAAGAAAGGGGTGAGGCGCCTCAAAGACCAGGCGGCATGATAGGCCCTCCTCCCTTGGTAGAGGAACGATCTAGGGGCGTGATAGGTTTGCCTTCCGTGGCAGAGGCATTGGGTGAGGCGCCTCAGAAACCTGACGGCATGACAGGACTCCCTTTCTTGGTAAACACGGGTTGTGAGACACCTCAGAAACCTGGCAGCAGGATTGGTTCTCCTCCCTTGGTGGACACGGGTTGTGAGGATTGTGAGGCGGCCGATCCTCAAAACCCAGGCAGCATGATAAGTTCTCCTCCCTTGGCAGAGGCAACGGGTGAGGCGACTCAAAAACCTGACGGCATGATAGGCCCTCCTTCCTTGATAGAGGAACGATCTAGGGGCGGATTGGAGGAAGGGAAAGAGCAGGAGGAGGAGGTGGGGAAGGACGGGAGGGACGAGGACGAGTGGAGTGGGATAGATGAGGAAGATGAAGGGGAGGCAATGGGAGAGGCGCCTCAACAGCCAGGCAGCATGCTTGGTTCTCCTCTCTTGGTAGAGGAACCATCCAGGACCAGTTTGGAGGAAGGAAAAGGGCAGGACGAGGAGGTGGGAAAGGAGGGGAGGGAAGAGGACGAGTGGAGTGGGGTTGATGAGGAGGATGAAGGAGAGGCAATGGGAGAGGCGCCTCAACAGCCAGGCAGCACGCTCGGCTCTCCTTCCTTGGAGGAAGGGAAAGAGCCGGAGGAGAAGGTGGGGAAGGATGGGAGGGAAGAGGACGAGTGGAGTGGGGTTGACGAGGAGGATGAAGGGGAGGCTGATGCAGAGGAGGGGGAGGCTGATGCAGAGGAGGGGGAGGCTGATGCAGAGGAGGGGGAGGCTGATGCAGAGGAAGAGCAAATGGAAGAGTCTGTTTCTGAGGCGCCTCAAGAGCCACCTGTCCGCTTGATTGATTCTCCTATCCTGGTACAGGAGCGATCTGGGAGGAGAATTAATTGGTCCGCTTTTCCGCCTCAAGAACCTCCTGTCGGCTTGATTGGTTCTCCTATCCTGGTACAGGAGCTATCTGGAAGGAGTGTGGAGGAAAGGGAAGGGAGTTTTGAGTCGACTCAAAACTCGATCCTGGTACAGGAGCGATCTGGGAGGAGTGTGGAGGAAAGGGAAGGGCAGGACGAGGAGGAGGTGGGGAGAGAGGGGAGGGAAGAGGACGAATGGAGTGGGATTGATGAGGAGGATGAAGGGGAGGATCGGCCGGACGAGCAAAACGAAGAGCCTGTTTCTGAGGCGCCTCAAGAACAACCTGGCAGCTTGATTGGTTCTCCTATCCTGGTACAGGAGCGATCTGGGAGGAGAATTAATCAAGAACCACCTGTCCAGGAGAACCACCTGTCCGCTTGTCCGCCTCAAGAGCCACCTGTCCGCTTGATTGGTTCTTCTCCTATCCTGGTACAGGAGCGATCTGGGAGGAGTGTGGAGGAAAGGGAAGGGCAGGAAGAGGAGGTGGGGAAAGAGAGGAGGGACGAGGACGAGTGGAGTGGGATTAATGAGGAGGATGAAGGGGAGGATGTTGCAGAGGCGGATCGGCCGGACGAGCAAAGGAAAGAGTCTGTTTCTGAGGTGCCTCAACAGAACGAGGGACAGGATGGGAAGGAGGGGAGGGAAGTGGACGATTGGAGTGGGATTGATGAGGAGGATGAAGGGGAAGATGGGCTGAAAGAGCGAAACGAAAAGTTTGTTTCTGAGGTGCCTCAGATGAACGAGGAGGGATGGAGTGAGAAGGAGGATGAGAGGGAAGAGGACGAATGGAGTGGGATAGATGAGGATGATGAAGGGGAGGATGGGGCGGAAGGGCAAAAAGAGTCTGTTTCCGAGGGGCTTGAAAAGAACGAGCAGGGACGGAGTGGGAAGGAGGTTGGGAGGGAAGAGCAAAACGAAGAGGTGCCTCAAGCGAAGGAGGGAGTGAGAAGGAGGAGGGGAGGGAAGAGGATGAGTGGAGTGGGATTGATGAGGAGGATGAAGGGGAGAATGGGCCGGAGGGGCAAAACGTGGAGCCTGTTTCTGAGGTGCCTCAAAAGAACGAGGAGGGATGGAGTGAGAAGGAGGGGAGGGAGGAAGACGAGTGGAGTGGGATAGATGAGGAGGATGAAGGAGAGGATGGGTGTGACTCTGGTGATAGCTTGGGGAGTGAAGAGGATGAGGGTGGGGGTGGCGAAGAAGGCAAAGAGAGTGAGGATGAGAGTGGGAGTGGGAGTGTGATTGACAGTGGGAGTGGGAGTGCGAGTGGAAGTGGGAGTGAGGTTGGGAGTGGGAGTGGGAGTGGGAGTGATGGGGAGGAGAGCACACTAGACATGAGCAGTGTTGGTACCATGGAACTGGAGGAGGAGAGCGACGAAGACGAGAGCAAAGCGCCAGAGCGCGATGCGCGAGACAGTAAGGTGCAAGGGGGTGAAGTGCAAGGGAGTGAGGTGCAAGGGGGTGAAGTGCAAGGGAGTGAGGTGCAAGGGAGTGAGGTGCAAGGGAGTGAGGTGCAAGGGAGTGAGGTGCAAGGGAGTGAGGTGCAAAGGAATGAGGAGGAAGGGAGTGAGGTGCAAGGGAGTGAGGTGCAAGGGAGTGAGGTGCAAGGGAGTGAGGTGCAAGGGAGTGAGGTGCAAGGGAGTGAGGTGCTAGAGAGTGAGGTGCGAGGGAGTGAGGTGCAAGGGAGTGAGGTGCAAGAGAGTGAGGTGCGAGGGAGTGAGGTGCAAGGGAATGAGGTGCAAGGGAGTGAGGTGCAAGGGAATGAGGTGCAAGGGAGTGAGGTGCAAAGGAATGAGGTGCAAGGGAGTGAGGTGCGAGGGAGTGAGGTGCAAGGGAGTGAGGTGCAAAGGACTGTGGAAGGGAGTGAGGTGCAAGAGAGTGAGGTGCAAGGGAGTGAGGTGCAAGGGAGTGAGGTGCGAGGGAGTGAGGTGCAAGGGAGTGAGGTGCAAAGGAGTGAGGTGCGAGAGAGTGAGGTACAAGGGAGTGAGGTGCAAGGGAGTGAGGTGCAAGGGAATGAGGTGCGAGAGAGTGAGGTGGGGACTAATGAGGGAAGGAAGGGTGAGGGAGAGAAGAGTGAAGGAAGGAACGGCGAGGAGAGTGGTACAAAGCAACAGGACCACAATGGCAGGGATGGGGAATGCAGCAAGCAAGATGATGCGAGTGATGTTACTGGAGCACCGCAAACAGAGGAGGCATGATGAGGTTGGTTCGTGACTATGGCCAGGCCCATACTCATCCCAGCAGTTTTTTAGCAAGAGTTAGGGTTACGGGTTTTCAGGATGTTTCTAGCAAGCAAAACAAAGCTGTAGCAGATGTAGCAGCAGAGGAGCCGCATGCTGATGCTGATTAGCTGGAGGCGCCTGTAGTAGTAAGTGCATGTCTTGTTCTTTTGTCTATGTCCAAAGTCGCCTTTTTAGATTCCACCCTCGTAAATATCAAATTCTTGAAATGCAATGCAACCATCAAATGGGAGCATGTACTGCTTTCAATAGAAGCTTTCGCATCAGCTTGTTGTTCAACAGACTTGTACCTGGTCAAGTATGAGGACTTGAGTGTCAAATGTCAATGTTATGATAGGCTGCAGTGAGGTACTCCCTAGAGAGTATAGCTTTTGTAGGATTCCTATTTGTACCCTTGCAAACCCTAATTCCAATCATTCCGTTGTATTCCTATTCTGAGATGGTATCACGAGTAGGTTAGATCCTCGTTCGTTCTTAGCTAGCCTCCGCGCCCTACGCGCCCTCCGTGCTCTCGCGCCCTCCGCGCCCTCCGCGCCCTCCGCGCCCTCCCCGCGCCTAGCCCGCGCCCTCCCGCGCCCTCCTTAGACCACCGCGCGCCCTCCCCCACCGTCGCGCGCCCTCCTCAACCGTCGCGCGCCCTCCTAAACCGCCGCGCGCCCTCCTTAGACCGCCGCGCGCCCTCCCCCACCGTCGCGCGCCCTCCTCAACCGTCGCGCGCCCTCCTTAGACCGTCGCGTGCCCTCCCCTCTGCCTGTCGCGCGCCCTCCTCCGTCAACCTTCCCGCACACCTGCGTGCACTTACCGCACACCTGCGTGCGCTTACCGCACACCTGCGTGCGCTTCCCGCACACCTCGTGCGCTTCCCGCACACCTGCGTGCGCTTCCCGCACACCTGCGTGCGCTTCCCGCATCCCTTTGTGCGCTTACTGCTTCGGCGATATTGTGCCCTCACGCTATCGACTGAGGCCGCTCACTTTGACCAGGTGGAGACAGCCAAGGGGGTTTGGGATGCTATTGTGGCTCGCTATTCCACCCCCTCCTCCGCCTCCCTCAGTCGCCTCCTCATGCCGTTCGTGTTTCCCGACCTAGGCTCGTTTGCGACTGTTTCCGACCTAGTGACTCACCTTCGCTCGCTTGACGCCGGTTTTCGTTCGGCCTTTACCGACGCACAGCTCCTTGTTGCTCCCCCCCCCCATGTGGCTCACTGTGCACTGGTTAGTCACCCGCCTCCCTGGCCGCCTTGCCACTGCCCGCGACGCGCTTCTTCAGAAGCACCCCACTGAACTCACTATAGACCTCCTTCAGACTGCTCTCGGGACCATTGAGAGCAGCCTCCTCACCGTTGCCTCCGCCACTGATGCGGTGGCCCCCCGTCTCTTTGCGGGGTGTGCCGCCCCTCAGCTTCCCACTTTCACCGCTACCCGCGCTTCTGCTGCTGTGTCGGTCTCTGAGGACACCGCTGCCGTTTCTGCCGCAGACTGGAAGAAACGGGGCAAGAGTGGCAAGAAGGGCGGGAAGGGGGGAGGTGGGGGCGGAGGAGGCGGCGGTGGAGGGGGCGGTGGAGGTGGGAGCGGCGGTGGTGGCGGAGGCGGCGGCGGCGGCGGCGGCGGTGGTGCACCAGGGGGAGGGGGCCTTGGAGGAGGTGCAGGACAGACAGTTCCACCCACAGGTGGTGGCCCGACCGGTGGGGGTGTTGCCCCCCAGCAGCAGCAGCCACAGCACCACCTGCCACAACAGGGACAGCAGCAGCAGCAGGGACAGCAGCAGCAGCAGGCACCGCAGCAGTTCCAGCAGAGGGGGCCCCCGCTGCAGTGGGGTCCGCAGCAGCACTGGGGTCCCCCGCCGCAGTGGGGTCCGGGAGGCCCTGGGAGCACCGGCCGCAGCAGCAGCTCTTCCGGCTGGGCCCCTCGCCCCCCTCGCCGTGACGCTGGCCCCTGCACCCACTGGTGCCTCACCGGGCCGGGCAGCCCCTGTCTCTGTGGTCGCGACGACCACTCTGCCGCGCGGTGCTTCCGCCGCCTCGACGACCTCTACCGGGCTCGTTGGGGCCCTCTGGCGGTCACGCCCCGCTGGTCTCGTCTGTTAGCCCGTAAGATTGATGTCTTTGATCTGTCCATGGACGATGCGCGTCAGCATGCTTTGTGTGTTGATGCTGACTTTAGTGCTGATGGATCTGTGTGCTCGCGTGTTCGTAGTTTAGCCTGCTTGCCTCCTGCTAGTGTAGCCTTGTGCCTGTCTAGCTTAGGTGCTTGTGTTGCTGCTCTAGGTGCTTGTGTAGCGACTGGGTCAGGTGACCCTCCGGCTGAGGCCTCTCTGTCGTTCACGCTGGACTCGGGCGCGTCTCAGTGCTTCTTCCGCGACCACATGACCCTTACGCCACTCCTCACTCCTGTGTCAGTGGCTCTGGCTGATCCTACCTCTGGACCAGCCGTTGCGCGTAGCTCCACCACCCTCCCGTGCCCTGTGGTACCCTCTGGTGTCCTGCGCGGCCTCCACATCCCCTCGTTCACTCGGAACTTGGTGGGTGTTGGATACCTCCAGGACAGGGGGATCACGGTTACCTTCGTGGGGGGTGGGCGGACTGCAGTCTGTACAGACGCTAACACAGGTGCTGTTCTGGCCACGTTCACCAGGGAGCCCCGCTCCGGTCTCTACGTTCTCCACACCGAGCGCTCCCCGGTCGCGTCCTCCCCTCAGGTCGTTGCGTCCCCTCCGGCCCAGGTCCCCAGTCCAGTTACTGTGTCTAGCCAGGTAGTCGTGTCCGGTCCGGTCGCTGTGTCCAGTCCAGTCGCTGCGTCTCGCTCCTGTCGCTCTCTCGCCCACCGCACCGTCCTGTGGCACCACCGCCTTGGCCACCCGTCGATCCCTCGCCTTCGTGGCATGCTCAGTCAGGGACTTGTCACAGGTCTCCCGCGCACCTTCCCGTCGCTCCCTCCCTCGCTTGCCCCTCCTTGCTCTCCGTGCGTCGCCGGTCGCTTACGCGCCACTCCCCACTCCTCCTCCCTTCGTCCGGCCACCGCTCCCTTCGAGACTCTCCACCTGGACGTCTGGGGCCCTGCCCCGACGCAGGGGACTGGGAGGGAGCGTTACTTTCTGGTGGTCGTCGACGACTACTCCAGGTACACCACAGTGTTCCCTCTTGCGAAGAAGTCCAAGGTGACTGCTACGCTGATCAGGTGGCTTCTAGCCACTGAGGGCACTCGTGGTCGTCGAGTCAGTTGTCTCCACTCCGACCGTGGGGGCGAGTTTCGCTCCGGCATTCTCGGCGGATTCTGTGGCGAGCAGGGAATTGTACAGTCCTGGACGCTGCCAGAGTCCCCACAGCAGAATGGGGTTGCTGAGCGCCGCATAGGCTTGGTCATGGACATTGCCCGCACGTCCATGATCCATGCCCGTGCGCCCCATTTTCTGTGGCCCCACGCGGTTCGCTACGCCGCACACCAGCTGAACCTCCAGCCGCGTGTCTCGCGGCCCGAGGCTTCACCGACCAGTCTTTGGACTGGTTCCCCTGGTGTTGGGTCGGCCTTTCGAGTCTGGGGCTGCCTTGCGCTTGTTCGCGACACCTCCGCGGACAAGCTCTCGGCACGCGCCGTCCCCTGTGTCTTCCTTGGTTTCCCAGTGGACTCTGCCGACTGGTCCTTTTACCACCCGCCCCTCCACCAGTTCCTAGACTCCCGTGACGTCCGGTTTGACGAGTCTGTGTCCTACTACACCCGGTACCCCTGTCGAGGTCTCCCGGTACCCCCTCCCCCCCTTTTCCTAGCACCCTCTCCTCCTCCTGCTCCTGCTCCTCCGGTACCCCCCCCCCCCCCCCCTGGTCCTGCCCCGTCTGGTGTGTCCCACGCTACCCCTCTACCCTCGGTCGCGCGTCAGGTAGCGTCTCCCTCCCCGCAGTCCTCCTTACAGTCCCCTCAGCAGCCTTCGGCACTTCCGCGACAGGTTCCTGTGGACATGGTTGGTGTTGGAGCTGGAGGTGCAGCCGCTGGCGGTGCGCGGTCTGGGGGTGCTCGTTCGCGGGGTGCTGGAGCTGGAGGGGCTGGCGCAGGTGGCGCTAGCTCTGGGGGTGCTGGAGCTGGAGGTGCTGGCACTGGGGGTGCTAGTTCTGGGGGTGCTGGAGTTGGAGGTGCTAGCACTGGAGGTGCTAGTTCTGGGGGTGCTGGAGTTGGAGGTCCTGACACTGGAGGTGTTGGTTCTGGGGGTGCTGGGTCTGAGGAGACTGGCGCTGGGGACCCTGGTTCTGCGGAGTCCACTCCGCCTCCCCACCGCCACGACACGCGTCTCCAGGCTGCCCGTCGGCGTGAGCGTGAGGAGCAGGAGCGGTTGGAGAGGGAGCGGCAGGAGCTGCGGGTGCTGGACCTTCTGGAGCAGCAGTGGCAGCAGCAGCAGCAGCAGCAGCAGCAGCAGCAGCAGCAGCAGCAGCAGCAGCCGCAGCAGCAGCAGCTGCAGCCGCCGCCGCAGCCGCAGCAGCAGCAGCCGCAGCCGCCGCCGCAGCCGCAGCAGCAGCAGCCGCAGCCGCCACCGCAGCTTCCTCTGGAGCGGCAGTTGTTCCCGCCTGTGAGTCGCCTGCGGGCCCTTGGCCTTTCCTCCTCTCCTCCTGTCCGCTCCCGGTCTCCTCCTGTGTTTGTTCCTCCGTTGCCTCCTCCTGACGACCGTCCGGCGGTCTGGTCTTCTCCTCCTCCTCAGTCTCCTCCTCCTTCTGTCCGTCACGACTTGATCACTCGTTGTCCTCCGCGTGCTCGTCACTCGTCCCCTGTTACTGACCTCCACACTGCCCTCCTTTGTTCGTCTCGTCGTCGTTCTCCTTCTCCTGTGTCCGTTCTCCCGTCTCCTCCTCCGTCCTCCCTCCCAGCCCTCCCCACTCCTATCTCTGACTACTACCGCGCTGTTCGTCCTGTTGCCGCACGTGTCCTCGCCACTCTTGTCACCGACTCTCGTTTCCCTCCGTCGTCTGCCTCGGC